AAAATGAGTATGTAAATATAAATTATTTTTCATTACCAAGGTGGATTCGTAGAGTTATCTGAGGATTTCGAGGGATATCTGGTATAGCAATGGATTTGAAGAGGGTCTTGGGAGTTAAATGTATAAGCCAATTGATTCAATATCTTCCCCAAATACATTTAATCAGGGCTCCGATTCATACTTTTTTAAAAGTATTCTACTTTTAAATCGACCTCCATACTTACGAAATTGAATTTATACTTTTTTGAAAGTATCTACTTTTAAATCAACATTTTGGATTGAAAATGAAATTGGGGAAGACATTGGGCAAAAAAGTGAATTTTTTGGCCTACGGCCTTTGAAATTCTCGAAATTTTCGCCTGCGGATAAATATTTTCTAATTTAATTTTGAGTATACTTTTTTCTTGGAAATTTAGTCCCTATCTACTTTTAAATGAAGATTTTGATACTTTTGATTGGCATTTTGTCGATCGGAGCCCTGCATTTAATCTATTGATGTTAGTGTTCGGCAAATGGATTTTTTCGGTACCGGTTCCGGGAGTACCGAAAAGTACCGGTACCGAACGAGTACCGACAATTCCAAAATTTGTTCGGTTCCGGCACCGGGAGTACCTAAAAATGCCGATATCGAAAAGTACCAAAGAAAAATTTTCGGGAGTACCGCGGTATTTCGGTACTGACAGAAAAATGAAATAATATCTCAAATATCACTGTTTAAACGTTATCTCACTAAATTAGACAATAAAAAAATTTCAAATCTAAGTTTATGAGATGAGTATGCTTTGTAACATTAATCTAGTTACGGGATTTGAAGGATATCGTGGGAAAAAAACTTAAACCTACAGCTACCTTTTCAAATCCCCGATATCCCTTCAATTTTCTTCATTCCCTTTAAACTGAATCCTTAAATTAAAAAAAATTCTTATTTAGTAAATCCTGAGGATTTAATCGAAGATTTATACAAAATAAATTTTACACCAAAAGATATTTCTAAGATTGACTGGAAAAGTTTAATTGTTTTGGAGTATATAATTTATATGGAATTGACAAGGAATGAATTAAATAAAATACAAGTAGAAGAAGGTTAGTAAATAAAATATCGTTTGAATTAAAAAATTGGTTTTTAAAAACCCATCCTTGCCCGCCTTATAATTGCTTATAATCAGCTTGTGGTTGTGTTCGGTGCGCCAACAATTGGGCTGTGACTTCTGCGCCGCTTCGCGCTGCCCTAGTTGAAATATACGCCAAAATTTTCGCGTGGACTGTCAAATTCCAAATACCAATTTTCAAAATTTTAATTTACGTCAAACCCAAAACGCCAAAAATTTATGCCAAACGCCAAAATTTGTATAGAGCATAAAGGCCAAGAAATCAAAATATGCGAAAATACTGGGAATTTCTGAAGGCCAAACTAAGAAATCCCTTTTTTATAAAAAAATATAAGAAAGTTGCGTGTTTAAACCCTCCTAGCGTATTTTAAACGCAAAAGTTTCGGGTAACCCGTGACATCCCTGATGTGTACTATAAAATTGATAGAATACCTAATATTGTGAGCGTACTTTAATTGTGATCCATGCGAACATTTTTTGTGAATGTACTAAAAAAATAAAATGTTGACGTACAATGCGATAGTACAAAAAATTTTTTAGATGAAAAACTAATGATATCATTAATTAACCATGTGCACATAATGTTGTATGGATTAAAAATCAACTATTGGAAAGCGCAACATTTTAAAGAGGAAAATATACATTTGGAGATTGAGGTATAAATTATTAATTCTTCAGGATTCGGTATATTTAGTAATAAAATAAAGTAATAATTAGTTTGGAATTCGCCCCCCCTTTTTTTCACAGTTTCCCTGACCATTTTGAGCTTTTTTGTTTGATACACAAATTATCATATATCATTCGAAAGAGCTCTTTGAGCTTGTTCGAATGATACCATGATTGGCTAGATCTAATCATTCTTTCCAAAATTATGAAGCCAAATCCTATTTGGGTAAACTTTTTGTGCCAATGCAAGTTGATAAAATAAACGGTCACAACTTTGTACACTTAAGTCAGATTTCGTTGATTTTACCGTCATTCGACTCAGCTCGAAGAGTTCTTTCGAATGATATATAATTTGCCATAAAATGAGAAAAACTAGGAAAAAATTGAAAAAAAAGGGGGGGGGGGCGAATTCCAAACTATTACCTAAAATAATACTGCACTATTACTGAAAGACCAAGATTGAATAAAGGATGTCCTTTATATTAAAACCAATATCCAACAGTGATCATTTCTAAAGAAAGAATGAATTTTTAGCGGACGGAGGGATTTTCAGTGCTGAAAATCAGTAAAAAATAGGCTTAAGTTTTTACTTTCCAAAGGGGGGTCGGAATTCCGATTTCCGAAAAATTTTTTTGGTAATCCTTACTTTTACTGATCCATAGAAAAAATGTGGAAGGAGTGCTTTTTCGATATTTTTGAGGTATGCAAATATGTAATTGAATGTGCTGAGTCCAAATATGAGCCATTTCCGATTTCCGGCAGTTCCGATTTCCACGCCTTCGTCTTTCCGACCTACCTCTGCTACTTTCTAAACCACTATAGGTTGAGTCATATGTAAATTTGGCTATATATTCTTCGAGTGTTTTCTATTAGAATCCATAATTTAAGAATTTTTGGTTAGGTATTAAGGGAGTTCTAACCATGTAAAAATCTGTTGTCGGTAATGGGTTTATACATCCCACCAAAAAAGAGATTTATCTAATTATGCTATTAGGCTCGAACCCCTAGTTTTGCGATTTTTGACGTTTTGCCCATAACTCCCTTAATACCTAACCAAAAATTTTCAAATTTCGGATTCTATTAGAAAAAACTCTAAACATATGTATGTAATCAGGTTTCATAACATTTTTCGCAATGCGACATTTTTATGACTCAACTTTGTATGTAAAATAGGTTGCGGACACTCAAAATGTGACAAAAATAGAGTGGAATTCGAATCGGATATAATATATATATAAAGATATAAATTTTCATATAAAAATTCTGTGATATAACAGAATTTTCCCTATAAATAATTAATAAGTGATCTGATACATATTTCAGCATTTTTTTATAAACCAAAAAGAAATGTGTATATTTGACCATGGAAGTGAGTATTTATTCCTTCAAATATACAAAAGTTGCACTGAGAAAATTGTAAAACAAATAGAAAGGCTTGGCAAAAAATCAGAGCGAAGTAGAAGAAATAGAGGAAAACAACCTCTCCTTAATACTGTAGAAAAAGTAAATGAATATTGGGAAGAATGTTTGATTAAGGGTTTTGAAAATAAAGACGTAATAAAAAATAATGAAAATGATAGAGAATTAATCCATATAGATAAACTTAATGAATTGTTAAATAATGAAGAATTTAAACAATTTTTGCAATGTGAAGCATCCGGTAATTAGGCCAATTTTAAAAATCTCAGAAAAACGATTTTAACTTTCAGAAATTTCGAGGGATAGGGCAAGGAACGGTCCCAGACCCAGTGAACGTAGATCCCGAACATGAAGAAATGTTTTGGAACCATACCCCTACTTTCCAACACCAAGAAAAAATTAATTTTTTGTTGATGGGACGCATATACTTTCAAGGGACGCATAAAAGTTCATGAGACGCATGTCCTAAGATAGAGATCGCATATTTTGTTATGCGGATATGCCTTGAAAAGGGAACCACCCCTGCTCGCCGAACTGGACAGGCCGAACTGAAAATTTTGAGAATTTCCTATTTTAGGGGCGGGAGTAGAGGTGCGGGAGAGAGAATATTTACAAAGTTCGGATCCCAAATCATGGCTTTTTCGCCAAATCATGGCTTTCACGCCATATAATTATTATGTACATTATATTAAAAATATATTAATTTTAGCATTGATGGTTAAAGAATTATGTGGTATAAATATAAATAAATTAATTAAAAAATTTGAAAAAGAAAAAAAGAAAGAAAAGGTAAATGAAGAAGTGCAATATAAGTCAGCGCTACAGGAAACATCATCATCAAGCAAAGGAAGATCTACAAAAGGAAAGGAGAAAGCTTATGAAATAGTAAAAAAATTTCCACCAAGAAACCCAACTAAAGGTTTCTGAAATTAATTTAATTTTGTTTTAAATTATAATTTAAAGGACCAAAAAAGGGATATATTCCTTCTGTTGTTAGAAAGGCTTTAATTATAGAAGAGGAGTTAAAAAAGAAAAAAGTGATACATGAAGAAAATGAGGCCGCTGCCGATTATTATGTATATTTTTAATTATCTACATTTACAGTCGGATCTCACTATAAGATACACCCAGTATTAGATAAACCTCTATTTAAGATACTCTTCTTAAGTGTGGCGGCGGAGCTTTTTCCCTTTGATGGTGGAGATACCTTCCAGTTAAGGCACTTCTCATTATAATTTTTAGAGGTTGTATCTTTAAGTAAGGTCTGACTATTTCTACATATATTTTTGCATTCAAATTTTAAATAAATTTAAGTTGTATGAATTAATAGAAAATGAATATTATATTAATGAATACATAATTACTAATAGAAATGGTGTTATAGACAATTTAAGACAAGTAATTCAAGAATGGATCGAAACTGTAAAAGAAAATAAAGGAATAAATAATGATATTGAAGAAGGTATACTGTAGTAACTAAATATAAGATACACCCTCGTATTTCGAACTTGATAATGTCTAGCTCAAGTTTATAAAACGTTATTAAATAAGTTTATCTTATATGTAGCAAAGTTCTGTGTCAGGGAAAACAATCCGCGAATGTCCGATCCGCAAAAGTCGGTCCGTAAATGTCTATCCGCAAATGTTCGTCCGCAATGTATTAAATAAGGTTATCTTATATGTAGCAAAGTTCTGTGTCAGGGAATGTCTAAACAAGTTCCAAATTTTCTATTTCAAGATTTCCGAGATTTTCAATTACTGGAGGGTGGTTCTAAAATATTAGGAACAACTGCTTATTGGTCGGATATGGATATTTTGTGTATTTTGCCAAAATATATAAATATTTATGATTTTATTGCTGAAGATGAATGTGGGTTATATGGAAGTTTAATGGCTGTTATAGGCTCGGATAATATAAACATTGTAAAAACAAGCAGAATTTTGATGCTCGAATTAAAAATGAATGGAATTGATGTTGATTTAATTTATGCACAAATTCCATTTGAAAAAATTGAAACAAATTTTGATATAATGGATAATGAAATTATTGAAGAAAATAAAAATAAGAGAAGCATTTTAGCTTTAGCAGGTTAAATAAAATACTGTCTGAATTTAATATAAAGATATTTCCAATATATTTACTATAAGATAACTCAATTCAAGTTATGTTGACTAAAAATAGCTGGCCATATCGGGATTTTGACATAAAATCGGGATCAGGATTTTGAATAATGCCCCCAATCCCGACTTAGGATTGAAAAGTCAGTATCGGCATTTACTAAAAATGTTTAATAAATATGAGGAGAAATACATATAATATTCTTCCAAACAACTGCAAATCCACGGGGAGGATATCAAAAGATTTTTGGGAGTTTCTGAGGAATTGATTCTGAGAGGGGGCTCCGGTTATAAAAATTCATTAAATATTTTCTTAAAAAGGTGTTTGTTGTTTGAAGAATATACGGCAAGAATATATCTGTCAAAACCAACAATTACTGGTTTTGTTAATGCGATATGTGAAGATTTGGGCAAAAAGTAAGTAAATTATTTCTACGAAGGATAGATGAAATTGCGGCCGCGAATTTGACATTTACAGTTTATGGGCTAAAGCTACATAGTAATCTCAGCTAGTGCAGTAGTTATTCGGTGATAGGAAGCAGGGATGATTGGGAGCAAACCAGCAGGGTTGGGGTAGTTTTGGCCTGACTGTAAGGGACTGACGTGTTGTCCATTACGCATAGTTCTAGGAATTAAATGGCTATAAGCCTTACAATATCCAAGGGTTTATTTATAAATGAGTTTGAAATTTATTTTCCCCTTTAATTCTAGATCGCCTCATCTATTCAAACATTGCTGGATATTTGAGTGGTCATTCGTTGTCTATTATGTCAGCAAAAATCTGTATAGAATATCCGGAATTTACTAGCTTATCTTTTGTTATTAAGCAATTTTTTAACGTTTATAATTCATGGTTATTTGATAATCCTAGGAAAGATATTTTTTATTTTTAGGAAATGGGGAGAAAAACCATTATTATTAGTTGATTTAATTGATACAGATGATGAATTCGGAAATGCTTCAAAAATTGTTGAGCCTTGGAGAGTTAAAAATGAAGATTTTGATTCTTCTAGGTTTGGAGATTACAAAGAAAATATTTATAGAAATAGTATATAAAGTGGTTACATGCCGGGGGATCCCCTCAGTATCGTACCATACAATGGCCTATTGGTTGTTTTAGATCAGGCTTGGCTGTATAAGTAATAAAAATAATAAAAAATTTAATAAAAATTAAGCGAAACTGGATCAAGTGAAAAAAGAGGCACAAAAAATGAAGGAAATGATGGAACACAAATGTCTATAATTACACCCGGATTTCCCGAACAGAATACAACGTTTAATGTCAATAAATTTACATTAAAGAGAATTGTTATGGAATTTAAAAGAGGTAATATATCCGGCCTCATTTGAAGATAAAACCCTTCTTAAATTGACTGTATCTGTTAAAATGGTAGAGAGACATATCGAGGTTGCTCTGAAAAAATTATCTAACATTGATTCTAAAACATAAGAACAATTTTTCTTCAATAAATGAGCAATGTACTGTCAAAGATCCATTGGCCTAGATACTGAAATCGTACATTGAACTATTCAGTGTGTCCACAGATCGTTAGAATTTAAGTAATTAATTAAAAAATCCAAAAAAAAAGTTTTTTTGGACCAAACTCCCCAAGCTTGTACTCCAAAAAATCAAATCTTTCGAAAAATATAAGACCATTTCCTAAATAATAGCAATTCCGACAACCTATCTAATTATAAGCAATAATAAATAACCTCAATTTATGATGCGTTTCTTAAAATTTGGTCCGCGACTGGCTGGTGAAACTGCCGAAGCTATACCTCCTGTTTAAAATACAACCCAATATAAGATATGATATTTAACCCCCAAGTTTGAGGTTGAATATACATATAAATAATATTTTAAAGCTTTTAACCTTATAAAACTACATTCTGAGCAACAACCAACAGATTTAAATATTTGGAATAAATTAATTACAGAATTAAATTGGAAAAAACGTTATAATTATTTTATTTTAATTTTATGTAGAGCTGGTGAATTTGAGGAATTTGAGGTAAAAAATAACTAAAAATAGTTAAATTAATCTATATACTGTATTTTTTCTAAAATAATTCTGCTCGGGCACAAATTTTAAAATGCGAAACATTACAGGAGAAAGTCCAAAAAAGGCGAAATTTTAGCGAAAGGTGAAAGAGCACAACAATGGTAGTGCGAACGGGTACAGCCTAGTGATGCTCGGGGATCTCGATTTCGACTCAGGAAAATTTTCCGAGTTTAATGTAGATTCTCGACTCTCGATCCCGTGGTCATTTTCTGACCCGATTCCCGAGTTTTTTTCTCACAAGCATCACTAGTACAGCCCAAAACGGCGCGCGGTCACAACGGCTCAAATAACTTGCCGGAAAATGTCTGGCCCTTGTCAATTTAGGTCTACTAAATCTGATAGGATTAAGAAAGCTTGAAGCAAGCTATGGCTTTGCGCCGTCCCCCAATCATAAAAGGATATGTTCTCTACTAGTGATGTTCGAGAGTCAAAAAATCCCGAGAGTCGAGAGTCGAGACCGAGACCGAGAATCAACCCCGAGACCGAGACCAAAACGAGAGTCGAGAGTCGAGACCGAGAGTCGAGACCGAGAGATTAAGAGGGATATCACTTGATGTCCCTCCTAATCCCCAAAAATCCCTTGATATACCTCAAAATCCCCATACTCGCTTGAATCCACTTGTCCACAATATATATTCAATGATATTCACATTAATCTCTTAAAATCCCCTCATATCCTTCCATATCCCTACAAATCCAACAATATCTTTTTGATCCATCGATGCACCCATCCCTTGATATTAAATTTTATCCTTCAGAATCCACAGTATCTAATATACCACAAACCACAAAATCTAATCCTTTAATCTTATTAAATTCAAATTTTTGCTGCATTTTTGGCGCCGCAGGCGAAAATTTTTTGAATTTTGGAGCTCAAGAAGCCAAATTTCCTCCATTTTCAGCGCCGCAGGCGAAAATTTTGAGAATTTTGGAGCTCAAGAAGCCAGATTTCTTCCATTTTTCAGCGCCGCAGGCAAAATTTTGGGAATTTTGGAGACTTTTCCTTAAAAATTTTAATATCAAAGTACGCAAGGTCCGAGTAAAGTTCAAAAAATTTCCGTCATTAGGGGTGTAAATTTAGTCTCGTTTTCCGAGACCAAAACACCGAGACCGAGACCGAGACCGAGAGCTCAAAAAACCCGAGAAATTTCTCGACTCGAGAGTCGAGACCGAGAGTCTCGAACATCACTATTCTCTACACCTTACTTTAATGAGGGCGCTTTATTTTCTCTAGAGGAGTGCTTATGAGGAGGGAGTATTATTTTTCTGCAAATGCGAGATATTATTTTTCCAACTCTTTTATATCGGCTATTGTTTTAGATAGAATACGGTATTTAAATTTTTTAGAAAGGTTACTGTAATAAACAAAAAGTCTTATTACGTACGTATTTATACAAATGGGAAGAAGAAAATGAGCAGCAATATACTAATTTAATTAGAGCAAGCCATTTAATACCAAATTATGATAAAAATGTTAATTGTCTCAATACTACAAGGTTTCAAAAAGATTTATTTTTTAATTTTTTCAAGGATTGAACCTGCGACCTCTTTACAGTTATTGCTAGGCGCTTTCACTCACCATATACAGGAGCTCTACCACTGAGCTACCAGGGCATCGACTAATGCTTTCTTTTTTATCCTTTTAGATCGTTTAACTCTCGCCTAGGCGTTCTAAATGCTCTAGGTGAATCATCCTTACAAAGATAAGGGAAAGAAAAAAATAGAGATGAGGGGGTACGAGAGAAAGAGGGGGTACAGGGGCTACGAACAAAGCGGGTACGAATGTAACTATAAATATTTAATTATACATTTAAAAATATTTTTAAAGCGATGGATTAATTTCCTGTAAGTTATGGATTGTTGGCGTTTATTTAAATAGTGATATATATGTTGAACAAGTTGGACAACTTTTGACGCTTGATGACAAATTTAAAAATTCTTCAACAAAGCCTGCTTCTTTATATTCAGTATATGCAGATAGAGACAATTTGGAAAACATGTAATAGTCAAAACTCGTTTTTAGATATACCCAATCCTAAATACTAATGGGCGGTAAATCATTCTTCCGAACTCGGAAACGACTTGGGGAGACAATTTTTGATAATCTCTGAATGTTTCTGGACAACAAGGATGGGGATAATCCAAAATTGTAGTAGTTCAAAGTAGAGTTGCACGAGATCGATATCTCGACCGAGACCGAGACGAGAATCTCGGCCATTTTCCAATCTCGGTCTCGGTTTTGACGAGACGAGACCACCTAACCGAGACGAGATTCTCGGCACTTAATCTCGCCGAGATCCGAGATCAGTATACACCCCTAAAGATTGACCTTATTTTGATTTATTTTTATTTTGACAAAATATTTAAAATTTCGCTATTGGTATATTGTTGTGCTCACTTTAATTTAGTTGTCTCGTGAATGGGGCAGGACAAATAGGCGCGGCCGAATACACATCAACCTTCACGGATCGCTGCGGTCGCCGCGATCGAAGCGAGCACGACCGCAGCGAAGCACAGCCATCATGTAGCGAAGACTTGCGGAACTCAACCCCAATCTTGAACACAAAGAAAAATCCAAAATTTGGGGCTTCAGTCCCCTATTGGCCGGCCAAATTCAATTTGGACCTGAATGTAATTTGGACGGTGACATATATACACCGTATTTCTTCTAATAGTGCGACTGTCTCTAATAGACCGACCCCTTCTAATAAACCGACTCCGTAGAGGAAGGTTGAAAAATAAACCGACTGCCTCTATCAGACCGACCCCTTCTAATAAACAAGTGTCCGTACATAAGTGTCCCCTACCCTTTATACTTAAGTCTTTCTGGAGAAATGGTGGAAAAAATTCTAGTTGTAAAGGCAAATATGGATAAACTGTTGCTTGGTCCACCAACTGAAATTGATTCTGATGAAACATATGATTTTGATGATAGATATTTAATTAATAGATGATATTTAATTAATTTAAATGGGTTTTGGTGGATAAAAAATGTTTTGAAAAATCTCGGTTTATCTCGGATCTCGATATCGGTCTCGGGTCAAATTTTGCATCTCGGTCTCGGTCTCGGTCATGCGAGTCTCGGTCAATCTCGGTCTCGGATTTATTCTAAAATCTCGATCTCGTGCAACTCTAGTTCAAAGCTCAGTACAAATTTATAAGAGTGGGATCCGGACTAAAAAATGTCACATAAGTCACAAAAAAATACAAAGAAAATGTGACTTCTTTCGGATTTTTAAAATTTTTTGGACCTAAATAGATCCTATCTCACGCTTTTTTGGACCTTAAAACGCGATAATTATGGGATACAATTTCCTAGTCGCACTACAAACTAAAGGCTCAAATATATTTATTTAATTTTTAAAATTTAAAAATTTACAAATTCTAGTCTTGGAACATTTGACATTTATGAGTGAACAATTGGATTTTAATGCGGTTTAAAATTTTGCTGAAAAAATTAATTTCCATATTTTATGATTATTTTTAGTTAGTAGATCTTTTTTGAAGTGTTATCTAAATAAAATTCCTAAAATGTAATTTTCATCATTTCTATTATTGTGACTAGAGTTTGAACCTGTGTATAGCCCGGATATTGTGGTAAAATCCGGGTTTTATTGGGTTTCCGTGGTTTTTGGAGTTTTGACCAGGAAAAACTGGAAGTTTGATTTAGATGGAAAAAAACGGGGTCCTTGGTTTTTTCTCAAGTTCAAACTCTAACTAAGGCAGAATATTTTTTGTCGAAAGGTGAAAGACGAAAGGCCAAGAAAGGCGAAAATCGGCAAAAGACGAAAGGCGAAACTCGCACACCCCTGTCAAGTATGTAGAATTAAATTTACTAAAAATTATGTTAAACATGTTCACCATTTTTTCTTCTTTTCCAATTTTGATTAAATAAATATTTTCAAAAAAATATCTGTTACTTCTCTAAAACCGCATAAAACATTTTGTTGAGATAAAATTTATTAAAAAAATTTTATTTTATAAATTAAATTAAAATTGTGTAAAGTTTCCTCACATTCAAAATAATTTTTCGATTTGAAATTTTTTTGTAAACCACAAGAAACTATCCTGCTACATTTCCAACAGTTCTTGGTGCTCCTTACACGGCTTAAACCCTCGATATCAGGCCCAAATCAATTTATATTGGGCCCCTTGAAATTTCCCGATATCACTCAATGTCCAACTTAATCCATCCAAAACTTAGATATATTAAATCTTATCTTTATAGCGCCGCAGGCGAAAATTTTAAAAATTTTGGAGGATCCTTAAGCCAAAAGTCTTCC